CAGCACATCGACCCTTTTTCATATATAAGTTTAATATAGGAAATAATTTATTGCGGATACCATCAGCAGTATCTACTAAATTTCTAGAAATTGTCGTAGGATTTGGAATGATGCTTTTAACATCAATATTTCCATATATTGAACCAATTTTGGCAAAATATTGGCAACAATCAACAAAGCCTTCCCCATGAATTGTATCAAATGATCTCAAATCACGTCCACAAAACATAGTAAGCACCTTTGTGCACTCTTTTTTCAATTTTGTACAACTTTTGAGTTTTTTCGGAACAGTACCAAAAAGACTATCAATTGTTAATTGTGTCTTTTTACTCTCTGCTGTTGTACTTGTATTCAGAGTTGTACATTTGCTCAAAATAAAAGATCTTCAAAGGTGTAAAATTTGAAGATCCTTTATTTTAAAAATTTTGTGTAACGATCTTCAAAGATCTTCATGATATTTATTTTTTTACCCCTTTATTAAAAGCCCAGATGTTTTTCAATTTTATTAATATAATATTTCTTTTATGTTTTATACCTCTCCTCCTGCCTTGATGAAAATTGAAAAACATCTGGGCTTTTAATAAAGGGGTAAAAAAATAAATATCATGAAGATTTTGAAGATCGTTGATCGCAGCGATCTTCAAAGATCTAGATCTTGAAGATCGTTACACAAAATTTTTAAAAAATAAAAGATCTTCAAATTTTACGATCTTCAAAGATCTTGCTCAAATTTTTGAGCTAGATCTCGCTCAAAAATCTTCAAAGAAGATCTTTTGTACAACTCTGCTTGTATTTGTATAAACACATTTATGTCTTTTAAGTTGATTTGTGCCTAAAATAATTTTATAAGATCATATTTTATGTATAAATATCTAACCTGTTGTTATTGAATTATATACATAAATAAATTTGCATATAATACAAATGACATAATTAAGCTTTTCTTTATTTTCATCATATATAAATGAAAATTTCTTCCATACATCGGATTTTCCATTAAGATTCTCCCTTACTTCATATTCTTTTGTCTTAATCTTTTCACCAATTCTTTTTAATTTTGCATCCATTGAGATAATTTTTTTAATATGGCTGTGTCTAAAATCTAAAAAAATATTTAAAATGACTTTAATCAATTAGATTGAAATAAACAGAGTTCGGCAGTACGAATACTTGTATCTAAGATACATGATACAAGATCCCTTTATATCTTGTACTCAGTATATTTTGACATTTTTAATAAGATACTAATTAATATCTGTATCTAAGATCCTTAATTCTGAAAAGAATCTTGTATCTTTTTCATTTTCTTGACAAAAGATACAGATACAGATTCTTTTTAATATTCATGTTATAAATTTTACATATCACAGTATACATCTTATTTTCTTTGAGAATCTTGTATTAATTTCCTAATTTTTTTCTGCCATATTTTAAAATATTGACAACCAAAATTAGCTGGAAAATTTACAACTCATATTAAGGTAGATAGATAAAAAAATAATAATACCAAAACGAAATAAGTAAAGATTATATTTTATATATAAATGTAACTTAGAATATCATTACCAATTTTATATAATATTTTTTAATTTCTAGGATGATTAACATTTATGTTAGTGAAATTTAAATTATAGAAATAAGTTCCCCTGAATAAAATCCCAATTTTATATGGAAATTTTTTAAAACAAATGTTAAAAAAGACAATGTATAGGCTAGATAAATAATGAATAAAACTTATCTTTAGTACATAAAATATGTCTTATCTTGTAATTCACGGGAAACACACAATTTAGTGATAAAATAGTTTGGTGGTTGTTAGGTTTATAAAATAATAATTAATAATGACGTGACATGTTAATATGATTGACATTTTAATCCTAAAATGTGATAAATATTAAATAATATGATTTTATAATTAATATTATAAATTATACTGACTATTTAAGATATTTATATTATTATTTATTTTCGGGTCGGGTTTTCGGGTCAAACAGCTTTTACAACCCGACCCGAGCCCGAACCCGATAAATTTTTTTTTGATGTCCGAACCCGACCCGAGCCCGAGACTCAGGTCTGGTCGGGCTACGGACAGCTCGTGTAGTTCTCTATAATACACTACAGTTGCGGAAATCGTATAAACCTATCATGTAGTTCAACAATCACAGAGCTATATCATCACAATGTTGGTCGAATCTTTTCTCCATATTTAATGACTCCAATATAAGTGCAAACCTTACTTGTGGTGGAACACAAATAAGCAAGACTATCACAAGTGTTTTAGTACCTGACTAGAGGTCAATTCTAGACAATTTGAAAGAGGGGCATCCATATGCAATTCTAACAGATGCATCTAATAAGGGAAATATTAAAACATTTTCCTTGAACCTTGGCTATTTCAACAAGAATAAGAACATTTCAATAAAACTGTTAAAAAAATTTTCCTCGGATAGTGAAAAATCCAACGATGTAACTAACCACATAATGTAAATAGAGCGGACTCAAGGTTAACAATGAATTGCATGTCAGCTATCTGCGCTTATAATGCCTATGTAAATTTTGGCAAAAACCAAAGTGTATTTACCGAATTTAGGCAGCACAATAAAGAATTATTGGCTGTATATGCAATATACAACATGATTATTGAGAAGGCAATAAATGTACTATCTGTGGATGTCGAAATAATTATGATGAAATGTTTTAACGAATTTAGTTCGTCTGACTTGGAATGGTATGAGTTGTTGCGATATGTACCTATCAGGTGGTTATCATTAATACCTCCACCTATAGAATTTTAAAATTTTGCAAACCCTTAAGAAAATACATTTTAAATAAAGATTTTAAAAGCTGTGCTAAAATTTTGAAAAATTTTTGGATTATGAAATGGCAGAAGCATATTTGGGATTAGTTTCACATGTAGGAAATCTATGTAATGCAGTTAATATTCATTTGTAATCAGAATATTCTTTATTAATAAAGATTCACAAAATCATGCAACAGCTCTATTTATCTATACAGTTAAAAATTTATAATAAATTTTATGGCGCTATTGCTAAAGATTTTATATTAAAATGTTCAAATAATACTCTAATTACATTTTTAAATGAAGCAGATAATTTTATTAAGTCAATTTTGGAATATTTATAATCAAAATATGATTTTAATAACTCTATTTACAAATGTATAAATATTATGACCTTGGAACAAAAACCATCAATTGATGGTTTTTGTAATTTAATAAATATATTAAAAATACCGAAAGACAGATGTCTTGTTTGAGGAGATTGTAATACTCTCTATTTTTTATGTTTAGCCAGAATACTTAAAGTTAGATGGTCTAAAGCAAAGGTGAAATGGGTTGAATTTTTTCATAATAACAATAAATCCCTATGCTTGGGAAAAATATGCTATATGACTTCTCCTTACCTCATTCTAATGCCTCATTCGAGCGCATTTTTAGATGAGGACTGCCTGGAAAAAGGAAAGAAATCGAATTGCTTTAACAACATTAGAGGCGGAGCTTATGGTTAAACAAATTTATCCATTATATTTTATAAAATCTTTTTCATACATTCGCATAAAATAAATATATTTTTTACATTGTGAATTAAAAATTGAGAGCATTACAATCTCCTCAAACAAGACATTAATGTCTATCGGTATTTTTAAAATATTTGAACATTTTAATATAGTTTTATCAATGGTGCCCAATGATATATATTATTGATGGTGCCATAAAATTTATTGTCAATTTTTAACTGTAAAGAAGAACACATCTGCAGCATAATTTTGTGAATCTTTGCTAAGATTCTTCTGATTGCAACTGCACATTAACAGCATGTAGTAGATTTCCTACATGTGAAATCAATCCTAAATATACCTCTGCATTCATAATTTAAAAATTTTTCAAAATGTTAGGACAGCTTTTTAATCTTTATTTAAGTAATATCTTTTTAAAGGTTTATATAATTTTAAGATTCTATCGATGGCGGGTATTAGGAACATATCGCAACCATTATTGTGCTGACTCAATTCTATATTATACACTCTGGTTTTTTCCAAATTCACTGAGGCATTATCAGATCAGAAAATTGATAATCCCGAATCTAATATATTTACTATATGGTAAACTATGTCTTTGGATTTTTCACTATTTAAGGGGAAAAAATTTAATAGTTTTCTTGAAACGTCCTTAATTTTGTTGAAATAGCGGAGGATCAAGGGAAATATTTTAATATTTATCTTATTAGATGCATCTGTTAGAATTGCAGATTTATGCCCATCTTTCAAATAGTCAAGAATTAACCTCCTGAATTGAGATTCTAAAACATTGATGATATCTTTGCTCATTTCTATTCTACATATAAATTTTTCATTTATCTTGGTATCGTTAAATATAATTGGGAAAGATTCTACGCACATTGGAATGATAAGTAGCTCTGTGAATGTTGTAAAGTAATTACAATTGCCGCTATTGTATTCTTATTTTTGGAGAATATCTTTGTTTTGCAATGGATGTAGATACACTCTCCTGCACTAATTATAATAATGTGATTGAACAATCATAAATAAAATAATTATCATTGAAATGAGTACAATATTACCTTATTATGTATTTAAACGTGATAATTAAACGCATATTATATATATAATGTTATACACACACAAAAGGTAGATTTGCAATTGCGGATGTTTTACGGGACATTCGCATAAAATATATTTTTTACATTGTATAACTAAGATTGTTTTTTTTTATAAAATCTTATCTTGTTTACATTCTTTTATATTTAAAAAGGATCGTTGGTTTTTTTATAAATTAATATATTTTAATAATTCAAGATGTTATTTTATTTTGAAAAATAGTTACCGACATTGTATTTATATAAAAAAATTATAAAAAATAATAGGCGGATAATTAAGTCAATTCAAAATCTCGGCCGAAGGATAGCACTTTGCGAGCCCACAAAAATTTTTTTAGCAATTTTTATATTTCTACCGCAATTTTCATATTTCAACCGCAATTTGAAAATTTTGACCTGGCAACCCTATACTAGTGAATATACATGGTGCATGCTACAACTCCTGGTGTGGTAATGAATGAATGAATTCTAAACTTATACTATGAAAATTCAAACTGTCGCAGAAAACATCGATAATTTACTTAAGCTTAGGAAATTAAAAATTAAAGTATTTATAATTTAATTTACATATAGAAAAATGTTTTTTTAGAAAACAATAAAAAATAAAGATTACATTGAATATTTGGGGTATCAATATTTGCTGCACAAATCTGGTAAAAGTGCTATATATTACTATTGCCGCAAAAGATGTGGTGGCAGAGCAAAGCTCTTCATTTATTGTGATTTTAGTATAACTAAAAATCATTCAGAAACCTGTAAACCAATTCAAAGTATTTAAATTTAATTACAATTATATATTACTATATCTTTAGATGCTTTACCTTTATCAACTAATATTATCCTAGAACAACTGAGTTCAAATTTTCAAGGTATAAATATTTTATCTCAAAATTTATAAAACAATAAACAAAATAGATGATTCTCAAAAAGCTGGTCATTCTCAGGAACAATCTTTGACCCTTCCAAATCAAGGTTATATATTAATAATCTTAAATAAATATTGTCATTTTGGGTACAACATATTAAAAAACCATTACCTAAACACAAATTTTAAAATAGGTGATACTCAAAGTCAATCGGCTTACACATCCCCTCTTTGCTCATATATTTCCTGATTTTCAAAGTAATATTTTTATAACAAATAAACTCATTATATGAATCATAGATGCTCCCAACATATCAAATGATTTCTATACATCTCCTCTTAATTCAGAAATAGAAAGTATTATATAATTCTTTTAAATAAAAACATCTATATTACATTTATTTATAGGTGATTATTATTTAGAAAATATGTAAAATTATGTGATTGCAGAATCTTTTATAGATTTTAATGAAAATAGGCATATTTTTGGTAATTTACTATGTAAATATCTATAAATTTTCTTATTTTAGTCGAGTCAACTTTTGTTAGCTAATAGGGCAAACCATTGCTCTTTTTTGAAAATTTTCTCTACCAATATAATGGTCTATATTGGTATACAACTTATTATCATTGTCTAAGAGCTGAATGTAAAGTTACATGTAAATATATTCAGGAACACAATATCCAAAATCCATGAACACATGTCTGACACAAACTTTATTAAAGAATTGCTTGATAGTCGAGATATTAAAGAAAACAAGTTATCAATTTAATAATTTGTCACAACCATCTTTAAAATAACAAAATGGTAACACATTTGATCCACATTTTTTATCACCATAATATCCAATTTTTTCTATGTTATATCCAACTTGGCATCATTTAATTCCACATCCATCTGTAATAATGACCAAGGCTATTCTTCCAAGAAAATATGTATTTAGCAGACCAAATTTAAAATATTATGGCTAAATTATTATGAATTTGATATTTAACAATAATATTCATTAAAATTTATATTTTTAACATGCTACAAATAAATCTTATGTGTTTTGATTAAAATTTTAAATTTTTTTATATCCAAAATATAAATATATAGTGTCTAATAAAGTTTCCCTTACTTATCTTGTTTGTTTTTCTTAAGTGACAATATAATTGTTTTTTTTTAGTTTCTATTCTATTCTTAAAATATCTAATAAGGTAGATATATATATTATACAGTATTGCTCGAATTTATGTTTATTTTAATATGAGACTTTGTTAACCCCCTTTAATATTTTGAACCTTACAAAATGGTAAAAAACTGAATTTATAGGAATTTAATTGCACTTGTTTAGCTTAAACATCTGAATGTAAGTTATATTTTTTTAAAGCATTCTAGCTTAATAAATAATTTATTTGCATATTAATAAAATAGCAATTTTAAAGTAAAATACAACTTAGAAATCTGGACTTTTAGGGATCCTCTGCAGTATAATTTTCTTAGATAAATTAAATGTTAAGTTCTCAATTAAAAAAAAGTTGTGTGGTCTACTTTCACATAATTCTCATAACAATTTGTTTTTTTTATAAATATTATAAATAATATCTAATGTTATTAAAGAAGTACAATGCTTTTAATATTTTAACGAGTTGTGTTAATTGGATCATATTGACTATTATTTTAAGGAGTTGTGCTAATTGGATCATATTAACTATTTAAAGAAACCCTATCACACTTATCGAGAAATTTTATTCCATTACCTTTAAATTTTGGGTGATATTTTAACTTAAATATTTGTAAAAGGATTATATTATTGATTTAATATATGTCTAGGATAAATTCTGTATTGCAAACAAACATCGCATAAAACTTGTTATTCCTTACATTATATTATCCAGTTTATTTTATCAATAAAAATAATAATTATTATTATCATTTTTTTCAAACACAAAAGAAAATAGGTTAAAAAAATAAAACACATTTCTAAGACTTCATTTATAAAAAATAGCACCTTAAGGTTTCACATTAATTTAGCTTATGCTTTATTTTTTGAAGAATTTCATAACATTATGTTAGTGGCAATGATGAAAATCAATAATTTTCTTTTCAAGATGCCTATAGTTTCTTTATAGAAATTTATGTTCACATCAGTATTACATAAAATAGTTTATTATAAATTAAAAATAATGTAATGTTCATAAATTACAAAAATCATTGATATCCATATTTAAATATATAGTCACAATATAAATCTAATTAAAATTCGATTATTTGAAATAACATAAATCTGAGTAAAATTAAGATAAATATATTTGTTGTTTTAATGTTAAAATTAGAAAATATATTGTAGTTTATAACATGAGAATAATAACTATAAGGGTTACTAAGATAGCGGGTCCAGCGGATTTTCATTCAATGACGCTTTCAAATGCATTATTATGAATGCTTCGTCAATCTAGGTATTATTAAATGTCATTAATTTTGATGGTCCAGCTCAAGAAAATGATTTTTAATCACATGAACTGTCAGATACAAGTTATAAATTGAATAAAATTTATTAATACCCTCTAAAATATATCTTATAAATAACCCATACCTCTTAATCACTTAATTAGCCCTAACTCATATCTATCCCACCTTTAATCCTACTCACTTGTTAAGACTTATATATATAATATCCAATTCAATAATTTTTTTGAGTTGCTGATTCCTTGAGTTGGGTAATTATCATTCTTAGCATATATCAGTATATATATATAATATATCATATTTCATAATAATATGTTTTAAAACCTTTTGGTAAAAGTACCATAATGATATAAAGTTGTATAATAAATGTCTATTATATTATCCTCAAAATATTGAAATATCTTATTTATAAACTACCAATATAACAAATATAATTGTTCCTTGCGTATTATACTTACAAATTACAATAGCTCAAATAAATATTTTCTAAAATAAATTATAATTTATTAATATCATTTTTTTTTTCAACTAATTGTGAAAATTATAACTTATTATGTAATTTTATAATCCTTTTTAACTTTATACTTAGCTTTGCATTTTTTTAAATATTATTATATACTATTGATAATCTTATGAAAATAACTTATTATCATTATTACTATTTTTACAAATGTTCCTAGTTAATCAATAATATTGTATCGATAAAAAAATGTAATGTAGATGGTATTCGTGTTTAGATATGTTATATTATGTTTCTAAATAATAATTTCTAACATAATCATAACCGTATTGGACCATATCTTAAAATAAAAAAATATCTAAGTCTAGGATTAAAAGTTAATGCATATAAATATCATCATTGAAGTGTTCTTTACATGATAAAATCTTCAATGCAACCCGATTCATGGCACAATAATAACTACATATATTTGAAGACAGAATAATTATAAAAATTTTCTTTCAGTATAAAATATGCTTCTAATTTAATATGAAATGTTGAGAAAGAATCACTGTTTTCCTTAATGGGAATCGGTGACGTCATTTTTTTAATTTTTTCCTCTGGCACCAGTGTTAAATTTCGTCAATGTTAAATTCTATTTAAAATAATGGATTCTTTCGTGAAATTATAAATATAATAAAATATGTGAATAATTGTGAAACCTCTGAAAAAATTATTTATCAATGATGACATTTACAAAACAATTTGGAGAAAATTTTTACCAATTATTTTTATAAGACTTGAAACGAATTTTGCGGCAAATAATATTATGGACGAAAAAAAAAAGGAAAAAAGCGATAGTTATTCTCTCATTACAATCCAGCCATATATATATTCTAACCCCCAAAAAAGCTGTGCCGAAAAAATATTATGGATTTATAAAGTATTATGATATGTTAAATATTTTAAAGGGGAAGGAAGCATGTTATATTCTTGCGATAGACCATGAAATTTATTCTCAAAAATTTGATAACGAATACGAAAATGATAATATTCACCAAGCATAATATTCGCTTAAAGACCTTAATGGAAAGGATCCTTAATCTTCCATTATCAGACTTTAATTGGCACCTTGCTCAATTACCCGCTAAACTAGGCGGTATCGACCTGATCTCCTTCTAATTACTCTCCCTATCTCTATTTATATCTAATCGCCTTTCGCTCAATTCCGCGATCTCATCTTTTATAACCCCCAATGACGATCTCTTAACAGTAGCAATCGAAAAATGGAATCTACTAACCCCAGACGGTCAAACATTCCCAACCGAAATTTCTAATAAATCAATCTTGGAACCCCTTATAAAGAAACTTCAAAATAGTCTTAACCCCTCCGGTATCAGCGATATTCAACTTCTTCAATTAAATGATAAATATGGCGGATATGAATGGCTCGAGGCACTTCCTAGCCTAACCCTTGATAATCTCTTAACCAATGACCAACTGAGAGTTACCATAGGATTTAGACTAGGATGCTCGCTAACACATTCACACACTTGCCACCTCTGCAACCTACCCGTACAACCAAATGCAAGACACGGTCTAAACTGCTCCCGTAGGTCGCCACCTCCGGCATAAAGTAAATAAAATCATCCATAACGCATTCAATAAAGCTAAAATTCCTAACATTCTAGAACCAACAAACCTCTCTCTACAAGATGGTCTCAGACCTGACGGTTTAACCTGCATCCCATGGTCAAATGGGAAATCCCTAATTTGGGACGCTACCTGTGTCTCTTCCTTTCCCTCATCAATTAATTCAAATCCTCTCACTAATGGCGAAAATAAAAAAATCAATAAATACTCAATATTAAATAATTTTATTTTTCAACCCATAGTCATCTCAACTAATGGTAATTTCTCCCAATCAACATATTCATTTTTAAAAATTTTAGCACGTAAAATTTTTAACATAACAAACGAAAAACGCGAGTCAATCTTACTAAAACAAAAAATACAATTAGAAATTTTTAAACATAATTATACATGTTTTTTAGGTACATTTTTACTATAAGCTCTTTTTAGAGCTATCGATATTTTTAAAATTTACACTCTTTTTTATATTTTTTTATATTTTATATGGAAATTTTATATTTTTATTATAATATTGTCAACGAAATGGATAAAGGAAACAAAAAATTCAGGGATAAAGCACCCCACTCAAAAAAAATTACAAGATTTTATGCCTTGTCATATGACTTCCATTAACGATTCTGTAAATTCTTACAGTTTAGCACTTGTATCAAGTATCGAGGAAAAAGAACAAGTCACGTTGAAACGGAAAAAATATCCAAAGGGTTCATTATCAATAAACAAATTACACGCTAAAACCACTCAAATAATGTTACACGAGTGTAATAAAATTGATGTAACACCCAAGTCTCCAACTAGACTTAATCAAGATGTAAAAATGAAAAATATTTTAAAGGATAAATACAGTGAAAAAATCATATCAAATAATGACAATATAAAAGCGAAAAATATTTTAAGGGACCAATAAGGGAAAAATCAAATTAAATAATCATAACGGATTTATGAATATTTCATTAAAATCTCACGATATAGAGATTAAACTAGATTATGATCATATCAAGGAAGTGAAAATAAAAAAAAAATATTCACCCAAAATCAAAGAATACAAATTCGATATAATGTAAATCAAACATGGAACGACGATATATCAGCACCTAAGATTAAATTAGAAGAACTGCAGCAACAAAAAGATGAACAAACTCCCGATCAAAAGAATTCAACAAATTGAGCTACCGGAAGAGGGAAAAAGTTTACGAATTCCAACAAGACTAAAATATCCCAAGATCCTTCGATTTCGAGAGGAAGAAAATGGAGGCAGGGCACGAAAAATAAAAAAGATACTTACGAATCAAATCATATCGCCGGGGTGGCCTAATGGGTAAGATGTAGGCTTGGAAACACGAGCATGAACAAGGACGCGGGTTCAATCCTGGTAAGAACCATAAAAACTTTCAAGTTTTTCTTCCATGACTGATGTGTAAAGACATATGGTATGATGAATTTCGGAGCTTAGAGATGACACCCCGGTCACCGACAGGCCTGGACAGCCGGGTGCTAAGGATACCTGTCCAATAAACAAAATGAAGGACACAAATGAAAATATGAATATGAAAGCTAGGGCGTTCCCTCCATGCGACGCGCAGGGTGTAGACCTCCATCCTGTGAAAAATAAAGTAAAGGTCAAAGCAAAGAAGACAAGACTGGCAAGTTTGAATATTGGGACGCTTAAAGGTAAGACGAGAGAATTGGCATTAATGTTGAACAGGAGAAAAGTTGATATAGCGTGCATACAAGAGACGAAATGGAAAGGACAGAAAACTTTGATGATTGGAGATGGGTATAAATTGTACTATAATGGACTTGTTAGCAATAGGAACGGTGTCGGCATCATCCTCAGCCAAGACCTAACCTCTTCAGTAGTAGAAGTCAACAGGATCTCTGATAGACTAATGAAGATAAAACTCTGCATTGGTCAATCAATAATACACATCCTATCAGTATATGCTCCTCAAACGGGTTGCAAGGAAGAAGAGAAAGATGACTTTAGAGCTATCCTTGATGAAGCTGTAATGGAAATCCCTAAGGATGACCTAGTCATAATTGGTGGTGACTTAAATGCGCATGTGGGGAAAGCAAGAGATAGCTACAAAAGGCATCATGGTGGTTTTGGATACGGAGAAAGAAATGATGAAGGAGAGCACTGTCATAAATGAGTGACATATTTGATAATATTTATTGCGTGAACATTAATAAATAAATTGTGCCGGTTCATTATTAGACCGTATTTTAATATTTTGTTTTATTTTATTTTTAGATATAAAAATTAAGTTTTGTTGAATCATAATGAAATTGTATTTTATGCGCTTCCCTATAAAAGGGAAGCGAAATATTGTAAGAATTATTATTAACTATTTTATTTTTGTTTTTAATATATTTTTTTTTGGTTGTAATAGTAAATTTTGAAATAAAATTATTCATTTTTTTGTGTGGGAAATTCAATAAAATTATTATACTCGGAGTTTTGCTTTCTATTCGGACTTATACGGCACAACGTGATAGTTGGTGCCGTGACCAAAAAAATAAAGTAAAAACAATTATTTTTATAAATTATTTTTGGAAAAACATTTTTGTGGAGCGTTGTGGTGGATAAGATCGTCAATTTGAAGAACCGTCAAGAACAAGTACCGTCAAGAGCAAGTACCGTCAAGAGCAAGTACCGTCAAGAACAAGTACCGTCAAGGACAAGTACCGTGTGTAATAAGGGACCGTTTGGGTTGAAAGACCGTCAAGAACAAGTACCGTCAAAAGAGGTGACTGTGGAGTGAAAATTTTCAAAAGACGTAAAGTACACGGAAGTGCTGCCCAAATTTTTGCCGATATAAATCTATTAGACGAAAATCGAAAATTTACTAAAAAAGTAGAGTACACGGAAGTGCTGCCCAAATTTTTGGTTATATAAATCTATTAGACGAAAATCGAAAATTTACTGAAAAAGTAGAGTACACGGAAGTGCTGCCCAAATTTTTGTCTATATAAATCTATTAGAAGAAATTCCAAAAAAGTTTATTAGAAAGCAAGTTACACGAAAGTGCTGCCGATTTTTTTTTTCAAAAGACGTCAATACACGTAAGAGATTAAAGATTAGCGGAAGGTATTGATTTTTTTTTGAAATTGATAAATGTATATGTGTATTATTGGAGTTTTTACCTTATTGATTTTATCTTATTGTCTGACATTACAAGTAGTTAAGATATTTTTGGTGAAATTAATTATTAATTTTTTGTGAATATTTTATAAAATTTAGTGTTGTTAGAGAAATAAATTAGGAAAAATTTAAATACTTAAATATTTTAATGAAGGGTTTTAAAATTACAAAATATGTGGAGTTGCAATATAATGTATTGGGAGCGGTGGTAGTGTTGATGATATGGTTGTGTAGTTTATATTTTGGAAGGAGAATGCGAAGAGAAAGGAGTATTAGGATTCGTGGGCAATCGTTGTTGGTAGAGGGGCATAATGGAGAGGATGATAGGTTGGGGAGAGTGACGTGGTTACCGGTTCAAGAAATAATGAAGGGTTGGGTCAATAATGAAGAAATTGACCGGTTAAAGAACGAGAGGATAGATGACAGACATTTGGATGTATACCGTGGACGTCAAGATATGCCAAGGCCGTTCAACAGTGGGGGACAGAGAGGTCGGAATGGTAGATGTTATAAATGTGGGGAGATGGGTCATATTGCGGTGAATTGTAGAGATGTCAAATGTTTTGCGTGTGGGGAGATGGGACATATTTCGACATATTGTCCGGGCAGAGCAGAGAGAATACGTTGCACGGGTTGTGGAAGATTTGGACATGTGTTAAAGGATTGCCGAGTGGGAAAGGTGGAAACAAGGGCAGGTTTTCCACAGAGAGGAGAGTCGTCGGGGGTCGTGAATATGAGGAGTATGACGGAGATAGTTGGAAAAGAAGGAAAGGATATTGGAGAGGAGATGACGTGTTTCAAGTGCCGAGAAAGGGGACATTGGGCCAGAGATTGTAATAAAGATTGACTATATGATGGGAAGGAGAGTAAAATAATGACCGTGGCGTTAGGAGGAGGCAAGAAAGAGTTGAGAGTTAAAATGTTGCAGCAGGAGGTTCAAAGGGAGTTAATGTATCTGCCGAGTCCAAGGGTATGGTTCGATATCAACGGGAAGATGGTATCTATGTTATTTGATACCGGAGCAGCTATTTCGGTGATGGGATATGAGGATTTTAGAAGACTTTGGCCGGGTAGTAATATAATTAGAGACGTTATGCAAGTAAGGCAGTTTGATGGATCGGAGATGGAGATGATGGGAAGAGTGCATATTGGGGAGGTAGGAAGAGAAGGATGTAAAATGTTGGACTTATGGATAATTAACCGAGACGTTGAGCCGGTGATGGGATGGGATTGGATTACAAATGTAGGGCCGAGGTATGGATTCTGGGGAGTATTTGCCCGATGGGGAGTATTTGTGGCGATCGAAGAAGATATTCGGGAAGACTTGATAAATATGGTCCGAGTGAATGAAGAGAAGAGAATGTCGAGAGGGAATTTGGAATGGATGGAGGGCCTAGATAATATTGAAGTAGACGATGGAAGATCCATGTTTTGGGGGGAAAGCGAAGAGAATGCGAGAGAATATATGTTGGGGAGAGGTCCGATTTATGTAGATGGAGAAATAGGAAATGTCCAAGACAGTAGATATGGAGTATTGAGGCCGCTGGTTAGTGAGAAGAAGGGAGAGAATTTTGTAGAACAAAGAGTTGCGAAAAATTTGTGGGGGTGTGGAGAGGGAATAAAGGAGGTCCAAAAGGAGGTGGAGAAGTTAGTGGAGAGGTATGGAGAAATATTTGAGGAAGAGTTGGGTTGTTTGAAGGGTTATGAGGTGGAGATTCGGATGAAGGAGGGAAGTGTGCCGAAGTATTGTGCTGTACGTCGTGTACCTTTTGAATGGAGGCGAGAGGTAGAGCAAGAGTTGGATAGATGGGTAAAGGAAGATATTGTATGTCCGGTCGAATATAGCGAGTGGGCGACACCTTTAGTACCGGTGAAAAAGGCTAATGGGAAGTTGAGATTATGTGCAGATTTCCGAGTAACATTGAATCCGTGGGTAGTGGAAGTAAAATATCCGTTACCGAGGATAGAGGAGATATTGGCGAATTTGAAGGGGAGTTTATATTTTTCGAAGGTGGATTTTTCTAATGCGTATTTGCAGTTGAAGGTAAGGAAGGAGATGCAGAAGTTGCTGACCATAACTACGCCCAAGGGACTATTTGCGTTTAAGAGATTGCCGTTTGGGTTGAGTGTTTCGGCACCCATATTTCAGAGGACAATGGCGGCCGTTTTTCAGGGTTTGGAGGGAGTGTTTTACTATATGGACGATGTCTTGATAACAGGTATTACGCAGGAGGAGCATAATAGGAGGCTGGAGGAGGTATTTTGGAGAATCAAGGAGAAGGGATTGCGTGTTAGTAGAGAGAAAAGTGTGTTTGGAGTAATGGAGGTTGTTTATTTGGGTCATCGGATTAATGGAGTAGAGGTTAGACCTTTGGATAAGAATATGGTGGGTATTGCAAACATGTTGAGGCCGAAATGCAAGTCGGAAATACAGTCTTTTCTGGGAATGGTTAACTATTATCACAGGTTTGTAGAGAATTTTGCGGAGATAGCGGCACCTTTGTACCAGTTGTTGAAAAAGGGAGAGAGATTTGATTGGGGAGATGAACAGGAGGAGGCGTTTGAGGAGTTGAAGTGCCGGATTGGAAAAGAGCCCGTCTTAGTGTGTTTTAATAATGAACTGGAAGTGATATTGGCGGTAGATGCGTCTCAAAGGGGAGTAGGAGGAGCGTTATTGCATCGTATAGAAGAGCTGGAGAGACCGGTGTTATTTTTTTCTAGAATTTTTAGGGCCGCGGAGACGAGATATTCGGTAATTGAGCAAGAGGCATTAGCTGTAATTTTCGGATTGACAAAGTGTCGGGAGTATTTGATTGGGCGTCGTTTTGTAGTCTATACGGATCATAAGCCGTTGATTCATTTATTCCGGAAGGATAACAAGGAGTTGATGATGTCGCCGAGGTTGCAGAGGTGGTTATTGATGGTGGGTAGTTTTGACATGGAGATGAGATATCGTAGAGGCCGAGAAAATTATTTGCCGGACATAATGTCGAGATGCGGAGCAGGGGAGGATGTGGAAGAAGGTAATACAGAGGAGATGTGTAAGAAGGAGGTAGCGATGGTTATGGTGGTATCGAGAATGATGAAGGGAGGTCCGGTAACGTGGGAGGAGATTCGGAAAGAGACGCAAAAAGATAGGGATTTGAGTCGAATAAAAGAATGTATAATGGGCCGGAAGCCGTGGAAAGAAGGAGATAGAGCTTATAAAAATGTTGGAGGAGAATTGACGGTGATGGACGAATGTGTAGTCCGGGGAAATAGGGCAGTGATACCTGGGAAGTTGAGAGGAATGGTTTTAACAATGTTGCATGCAGGTCATCAGGGAATGGAGCGTATGAAACAATGGGGACGAGAATATGTATGGTGGCCGAGGATGAATGTGGAGATTGAGGAACTAGCAAGACAATGTGTAGTATGCAATACTTGGGCCAGGATGCCAGCAAGAGATAGAGAAGGGACTTGGCCGAAAACAACTGAGCCATGGGAGAGGGTTCATGTCGATTTCTTCGAGTACGAAAAAAAGGATTATTTTCTAGTGGTTGATGCGGTTCATGTCGATTTCTTCGAGTACGAAAAAAAGGATTATTTTCTAGTGGTTGATGCATTTTCTAAATGGGTGGAGTTTGAAGTTGTAAGAGGGTTGACAACGCAAGTAGTGGTCAGAAAATTGAAGAATTTGTGGGCAAAGTTTGGAGTGGCTAAATCAATCGTGTCCGACGGTGGACCAGCGTTTAGTAGTGCAGAGTTTGCGAAATTTTGCAAAGAAAATAGGATACGGCATATTTTATCTCCTCCATACCACCCAAGCTCCAATGGGCAGGCAGAGCGGATGGTGGGGTTGGTGAAAGATTGGTTACGAAAGGCAAAGTATGGTAAAGGAGAAGTATGGACATCGGTGATGTATTATAATAATAGTAGGAGGGGAGAGGATTTGTCTCCAGCAGAGAAGTTTTTAGGGCGCAGAACGAGGATTGGGTTAGATGCTCTGAGGCCAGAGTCTGAGGGTCCGAGGAGAGAACGGGAGGAGGAGGAACTAGCAAAGTTTATGGTGGGACAGTCGGTGTGGGCGAGGGTATATGGTGAAAAGGAGAAATGGCGAGCCGGAGTTGTGATGGAAAAGGTGGGAAAAAAGTTAAGCCGGGTCCGTTTTCAGGATGGTAAGGTTGGTGTGAGACATGAAGATCAGATACGCAGAGGAACGGAAGCGGGGCGAAAGTGACAGGGGCAAGAGGTCAACGAGAGGTCCGAAGTTAAAAAAATATATATAGGTCAAGGTCACGGGGGTGGTGTAGGTGGTCGTTCCGGAAGGCGGAAGGGGAAGTATGATATAAAGAGGGGTATATAATATATAAGGTGGGAATATAAGTCAAAGTATGATCGAGTCAAATTGTAAAGAAAAATTATAATGTATCAGAGTAAAATAGTAAAAGGAAAATTGTTTTTTTTGAATTGTTTTTTTTTTTTGTGAAATTTGGTGGAGCTGAAATAAATATTAGAGAAATGTTTAAAAAATGTTGAATTAAATAAATTAAGGAGAAATAAAATTATTAAAAAAAAAATATTTTTTGGAAGTTTAGGTTAAATAAAATAATGTAAAGGGAAAAGGGTTTTGAAAGTGTATATTAAGTAAAATAAATTTTCGAAATATATTTGGTGGAATAAACCGGTAACGAAGAAGGAATAAGCGGCGGAATAATATTGAAGCGAAAATAGTTGAAGGTTCTTGTGGTAAACGGAGGGGCGGAGGCAGGAATAGAATGGGTATGAATAATGGGAATAGGTGGATGGGATGATGTAATAAAGAGAAGTATTGAGAAAAGTAAGAATGAATTTAAAAAAAAAAAAGAAACAAAAAGTAATAGTAAAAAAAAAAAATAACGGGGTTAGGGTTGAGTGATTTGTATTATAATGTTTTTTATATTATAATGTTGTATTTTGTTGGCAGGGAAGAGTGAATTAAAAGGAAAAAATAATAATAATAATAATAAGATGTTAATAAAGGGAGTAATGGTTGTTTGTTGTTTTTAATTTTTCTTAAGAGAAAAATAGTAGGAGTTAAGGTTAAATGATAAAAAATATAATAAAGTTAATAAAAGTTTTTCTGTTAACGAAAATAGAGAGAGAAAGAGAGAAAAAAAATAGAGTTAGGGAGATGGGGTATTGAAATATAAAGGAAATGATTTACGAGTAAGAGAGTGTTGAGAAAAGGAAAATTTTGAATAAGTAAGAGAAGAAGAAAACATAAAATTCATAATTTTATTCGGTAGAGGAAAATATCATTTTATTCGGTATGCCGATTATTAATAAGTAAGTCGTTATATATATATATGCAAGGAGAGTGATGAGGAAAGGGGAGGGAAGAAAAGGGGGAAAGCAGAAAAAAAAAATAATAATAAGAGAAGGTAAATGATTATGTGATATAGATATGTAGACCTGGGTACTCATTTGATGCGAAATACGATAATTAGTGCGGATATGGAACCGCTTGCTAGTGAATGGAGGGCTTTAGCCCAGGAAGGCACGAGATCAATGGAGGGGAAAAGGAGACCATCAGAGCACTCAAGGGAAACGGTACGTGAAGAAAGAGACAGGGTGATATGTTATGGTTGTGGGATGGCGGGACATATCCGCCGGTGGTGTCCCAAGGAACGGTTTGATACTATGGGAGGGCGAACCTGGAAGGAGTCGGAGCCAACGTCCGCATCTTCCGATAACAGAGCAATACAATCATATCAACGAATGGCGCCGGACACGCCAGTGTTACGGGTAGGAGAAGAGGAATATAGGCAGTTGTTGGAGCCAACGAGGTCCGATAAAGGGGGGAAATGTCATAAATGAGTGACATAT